AAATCGCAAAAACATTAGTCGAATCCATCCCAAGAAGATTAAATCATGTTTTAAAAGTAAAAGGAAATCCAACAAAATATTAAAACCTTTTATAAAGTAAAATTTTTGGATAAATATTTGATGAAAAAGTAAGTGTCCCCATCACTTATGTGAGCCATTTTTGGCTCCGTTCTAAACAATTCTATTTTTATTAAATTAATATTTTAATATTTTGAGAAAATGTATGTTATGTAATAATTGTTACTAAATTTAAGTATGAAACACACCCACAAAAATTTTTTACATGTTTTTTTAAATTTATTTTACTACAGTTTCCTTTTATAAAGCACAAGTGTCCCGTCACTTTTGTTAGACACTGTATGTGTGTGTGTTTGTGAAGCATTGCTTAGTGTTCCTAATTTGTAGCATTTATTTTCTTATAATATTTTCTTTCGTTGGCAGAAATAAAATTTTTTATTTATTTATGTGTAGAATTCTAGTATGCCTGCCTACAGAGAATATAATTTGATTTAGGGATTTAAGAACCTGTTTTTCATTAATGTGAAGTTTAAAATTTTTAGAAAATAATGATAATTGTCTACTTACTGGTATATAAGGGATCATGTTGTTACGTAGCAAAACGTTAATTTGTAAATATGATAAAATTGATATGTTCCAGAGTATTAATTGAAAAAAAACTTTTTTTATTTGTATAAATGTTAAAGCTTAAAAATCTTTGAAAATACTAAAGCTGTATGAAATACAAGTATGAGAGACTGCGACGTTCTTTATCTTTGTAATAACTGGTAGAATTCGCTTACTGTATCATGATAATTTTAAATATAAACAATTTATTATACTTATTTTCAGTTACGCCTAAGCTCAGAAATGTAAATTTAAAGAATTTGATGTTAATTTACAATAATAAACAATTCATTATTTTTTTTAAAGAGAAAATAGAAATCACGCGTAGCATGGAGAATATATTGTGACGTCACACCCAAATTATTTATTAAAGGTGAAATAGCTAAAGGTTTCCAGTATTGTTTTTTAAAATTACATCCTTTTAACCTTAATCATTTTTATTAATCATTTCTTAATATTTTCTTTCTCTTAAAATCGTGTATAATAGTCGTAAAACTTATTTCTATTATCCACGATTTCTGGTGAAATCAAGATGGCCGCCATTTTTTGAAACACGGAGTTTCGTCGAAAATCTGGATGGCAACCCTTTTTCAAAACAACGTATTTCATGTGCTTTGGCGACAAACCAAATTCGCCAAACTTTGAAGGTGGCCTATACTAAAGCTGTTCCGATAAAATATCATTAATTATACTTTGCTTTTCAGAATTTTCTGTTTTTTGTGTTCTTTTATGTTATTTATTGCTCATTTCACTGTTTTTAAGATATTGAAAAGCTTTGAGTGATTTTTTTTTTAGAAAACAAAGTTCTTAACCTCCTTTATACCATTTGAGTTCTTAAGATTTTGCAAAGGGAAGTTGGTTAATTTATTTATTAGGATAATTAATATTTGTATTAAGAGATATTGCTTACTTCATTGTAATTTTGTTATACGTAATAACTTTTTTTTATTAAGTTGTTCTGCAGAGTAAAATTCTACGCAGTTTTTAAATTTAACGGTTGGTGTTCCCTTCAGTCATTTTTCCGGTACATTTAAAAGCCAGTCGAAGGCTGGCAGCGAAGCTGCTAGCAATAAATAAAAACGAAAAAAATTGCAATACATAATAGGAAAAGTAAGTTAGAAAAGCTAGCAAATGTGGTTTAGTCAACTTGAAGACAGGAGAAGCATTTTGCAGATGCTTTCTTATAAATACAAGCTAATCGGCCAACGATGTTTTCAACAATTACCAATAATTTGAAAAAAAATCCATTGATAATTCGATTCACAAATACCATTTAGAACAGTGATTTCTTCTTCACGAAGAGAAAGGAGTTAAAATTACCTGTGTATAGTATAAGGTTTTAGTGTAATATTTTGTTATTTAAAAAGGAAATTCAATGATTGTGATCAAAGTTCCAGTAAATATTATTATATTCAGAGATGCTATTGATTGTATGATTGTATGTAGAATCAATAGGATTTTTTTGTAGCAGAAGTCATGAAAAATGTGCAGTGTTCTCGCCGCGACTCGAACCTCTCGAATACTCTCCGAGTGTGCTGGCCATTACACCGCGAAAGCATGCTAAGAAAGTGGAAGAAATACCAACACTTGGTTTTAAATACATATTCATAATTGTTTTACTAACTACTGAATTGATTTTATTTCTAATATTAAATATATTTAAGTGGAAAATTTGCCACTTCAGAATTATACGACATTCAGACTTTTTCCAACAGAACTGGAAGTAAATGATTGTTTTAATCTGGTACCATGATAGTTCCATTTCAGACACCTTGTACCAAAAAAAAAAAAAAAAAAAAAAAAAAAAAAAAAAAAAAAAAGGGATAGTTCTATATCTTCGGTTCTGCTGGAACGATTGTCGAAATTTAACTTGCGTTTTCCATTTCTCGAAAGCATGAATTAGAATATATATATTATATATTGGTATGTTATTTCAGAAAATTCCGATTTTGTGTCAAAATAATTATGTTAGGAAAATGCTCTATATAAATCTATTATATATCTTAAGTCGCGTTTTCGAGATATAGGAAACGAAAGTTAAATTTCCGCAATCGGTCCAGTAGAACGGGAGATATAGAACTGCCCCATTTTTCTGGTGCAAGGTTTACTTAATGATAACGATATTTGCAGTGGCAAGGAAACTTTGGTTAAAACCTGGTATTAAAAAAAAGAAACGGTAGAGTTCAAAGTAAACAATTCACCCGCCAAGCAATCCAAAAGGGCTAACAGAAAATAATTAACTGAAGTTATGCTTGCTGTTCCAAAATCTAAGTTCCTTCAGCGAAGAGAAATTCATATAACATCAATATACCTGTTTAGCATATATTTAGAATGGTGGTATTAATTCAGTGAACTTATTCTATCATGGCACTTTCATGCCATAACTTTTATGGCACTGAAGAATCATTTGGAAGAATGAGTTTACAAGCAAGTAGGCAATTTCGAAAGCAGCATGATTAGTGCTTATTTCAAGGCACGCGATCTTTGACTCCGTGAAGAACATTTTCATGAAATTGTCGTTTGGAAGCTGGGACAATAACACGGCAGAAGAAGAATAACCGTTTTTCAAGAGCGATTCCTATGCGTAATAACTGTCTTCTGCAACAGGACATTTAACTACTTGGGAACTGAGTTTAGAACTTTCAGCGTGCAATGAAGCCTTTGTTTCGTTGCAAACTATATACAGGAAACTTGGTGAGAAAGTTTTATGCCAGAAAGGCAATGTGTGCGTTTTATTAACCTTGCAACAAAAGCAAGTCTAATGAGTTTAATAAGTCTGCCGCAGACAACAGCAGAGCACTTGCACCAATGGGTTCGGGTTTTTTTCAGTGTGAAATGGAGGCTTTATTTAAACAACTGATATTAATATCACATCGAAGGCGGGCCCAAAAGACGTAAAATATTACCACCATTACAGAGAATATGATATTAAAATTCATAACATATTTTCACTTCTTACTAGTCTCACAGAACGATTACAGAACTATTTTTCATGGTAAAAATATCTAATACGATAAAAAGGAATTTTCTTACTGAATCGTTCTTTGCAAGGGGTTTGCAGAAAGAACTTAAATTTCATATTTTTCTTAAAAGGTATAAAGTAAGTAAAATTATAGTTGCCTACACTATTTGATTTATTTTTCAAATTATAAAACATGGATTTAATAGTAAACTGTTCAAGAAATCTTTAACCTTGCGAAAGGTTTCAGTAACATTAATGAATAATTTCAAGCATAAATTTTATTTACATGAATCCAAATATTTTTTCGATATTTGTTTAATTATCAGAAGATTATTTTTACTCTTATTTTTCGGAGTAATATTTTATTTTCTATCTAATCAATCATCATTTGCATCATTAATTATGATTGTTTTGCCAAATTTTTGTCAAATTTTCAATTTAAAATAAACTCATGGTTTTGATGAAACAAATTTGAGGTTGTCTTGAACGTCAGTGGTACATCAAACCTTTAATTTCTGAAAGTTACATAGAAAGAAAGAAATTTTGATCTGATAATGCAGTATCAGATCAGCATGGCGAATCTCAGAAATGTATCATGGAAGTCTTTGTTTTCTCTCGAGTTAAATTTTTACATCGATTCAGGCATTCCCATGCTGTAGAATGATTCTTTTTTGTTGATCGGAGACGGAATTTCTTAACATTTCTTTGAATAGCCATTACAGTTAATGCCAGAAAACGTATGCTATAATTGTTTACCCATGTTTTAGCAGCAAAAATGAATTATTCTAGTGTAATCTCATCAAATACATACAGAACATTTTCCATGCTATGCTCAGTTTTGGAGTAGTTAAGCTTGGTTGAGAGAAAGCCATTCACTGGAATGTTTCAGATTCATGGGTAAGATCAATTTTTCACCCCCGGTGACAATCCTACTAAATATGTTTTATTTCAGTGTCTAATCAGTAACGATACACAGACTATTGCTTTGTTCTTTGCTCGCTTTCGAAAAGTTATAAGGAACGCGAAAACTGCCTTAATTATGCAATTTTTTTTAATTTCCAGAAGGTATATACGCACTGTCGACCAGATGATTTTAAGTGTGTCAGTTGCTTTCTCGCAAAATTTATCATGAATGTTACTCATTACCTAGTATATAAGAATTTTTTTAAATTTACGAATAAATTACTTGAGTAAGCAAACATTTTCCAATGCACATGAATTAACTTTTAGAAAAATTTATCACGTATTATAAACTTCAATCATAATTATTTTGACTGTGAATTAAATTATAATATATCATAATAATTTTCGATGCTAAGAATATGATTATGACACAGTATATGAAAAAAACATGTGTAGCTATAACTAAGTAAGCAAGTTTAATTTTCTTCAAATAAAACAGGATGGCTCTTACCTCTACGCAAACAATTGCATTTTCGTGACCTTTGAATATTCTTTTGAGTGTTCCTGATTTCGCTTCGAACATTCTAGCCATTGTGTCTCCACATCCTGTGTATACTGAAAGTATAAAGAGCATTTTTAGAGAACAGACTTAAATAAAAATTTAATTAAAATCTTTCAGATATATCATGATTTAAGGCAATTATTCATTCAAAATTAAAAAAAAACGCGAATGAATATTTAAACAATAAAAATTTCTAATTAATATTATTAAAATGAAAATAAAATCGGATATTTCCTGATAAATTAAAGTTTATGGACTTGAAAAAAACTGTTATGTTTACGCATTCCATCAGATAGGCGAATGGAAGATACTGTATGTCGATGTCCAGTGTATATTCTTGTGCATTCTCCAAATTCTAGAACCCAAGACCGTGCTGATTTATCTGAGCTTCCCGAATATAACATTCTTTTATGGATCTGTAACAAATAAGTCAATGAGTTAAAATAAATTTAAATCAAATTGTATATAATATCTTATAAAAATGATTCGTTAATATTTTCATTAAGAACACCAATTAGCTCAAAAAGAAACACTATAACATACATGTGAAATTTTCGTAAAACAGTCATAAATGCTGAAATTATGAAATAAAACACTAACCATAAAAGCATGAAAATTCTCTGGAATAATCAATAAAGCGTCTCCCGTTAAAACAGCAAAAATCTTTATTTTAACATTTAGAAACTTTCTTAAAAATGTTTTAATTTTACTTCTTCTAATTAATATGGGAAAATACTAGGAGATTAGTTCTATTTTAAGGTTATTTGACTATGACAAAGTCACAAGGGCAATCTGTCTAAGAGGAGAGATATCATCTTGGAGGACTTTCTGGAGGAATTTCTGACTTGTAGTCATGTTACACATGGGGAAAGCTCTGAAAAATAATCATGCAGCTAGCTCTCTCTCCTGGGTTTAAAGGTCAAATCAGGTCGAACTACCAAGTTTCCATGGTCTTAACCACTCGAATACTAGTGGGGCAGTTCTAGCATGAAGATCATTGGGTATCCTTAATGACAAAATTCTGCATTTTAAAAGTAGCTCCGGTTATTTATCCAATTGCCGTCCAGCCGATATAGTGGTTAGCAACGTTGACTGCCGTATCGATGGGCCAGTTCTCGAATCTCGGATAAAGCGTGGATGTTTGTAAACGTATAGTGTTTGTGCAACAAGAGGATACTCAAAATACACGCTATCCGAAATTTCCTCGAGAGGTTATGGCAGGTGTAGATAGATGGAAAAGCATCGGATAACCCCCTGGGATATTCTTTCAGTTCCTACCTGTATCTGAAGTCAAACCATTTGTGTGTATTAAAAAGCAAATTAGTGTGCTGCCCCCAAACTGTATATCCCATAAATATCAAGTGAAATTACTGGTACTTAACCTTCATAGTTTTATATCATCGTAATTGTTTAAGATGCAATATAAATCAACTATCATCAAAGAAAAAAGTTTAAAAAAAAACTTTCTTTCAATCTGTTTCATACGATCATATACAGATCGCGCCGCTCAGACGGTATAGTGGTTAAGGTCCGAAGCGATACCGAAGGGTCCGGGTTGGAATCCCGGAGAAGGCATGGATGTAAATTGTCTATTCTCTCATAGGAGGTATAACGGTGGCCGCCTATTAAGTGCCTCCAGAATAAAATGGCCACCACTTTCGGCCTTAGGAGTGACCAATGCTAGAAAGGCAAGTGCCCACCGTAAAAAAAAGAAAAAAAATCAGATCACGATTTACTATGAAACTGAAGTAAATTACCCTAAAATAATTGAATAATGTTAACCATTAAATATTAGTTCCAAATTTACCATAAGGCAAAATATTGGTCCTTCATGACCTCTCAGTACTTTGAGCGCTTCTCCTGACATAAGGTTCCAACTTTTTATAAGGCCATCTCCGCCAGCTGTGTACAATACTTGCTTTCCATGATCAAGAGCCAAACAATTTAGTGGAGCAGTGTGGCCTCGGAAGATCTATAAAAAGGCGTATTTATTAAAAGCACAGACTTTATATGGGGTTGAAAGATTAGTCAATGGGAAACGTAAGGTAACAGAATAGAAACTACATAAAAAGGAAGACTACAATGATTACACACAAACAGTGAAACTGATCAGTTATGGAAACAGAAAGAAGGATGAAATGGTGTACATAAAATGTTTCTTCGAAATTCATGACTTAAGCATCAGATTGTGCAAAAAATGACTTACGTAAAAATTACCGAATTTTTTTACTGTAAAATTTCGTAAGAAAGTTTATTTACATTATTTTAATTTGCTGCACTTTCCACAAATATATCAGTTATAAAAATACTAAAAATGTGTACAGCGTATCTTTACAGTGCGTAAGATATTATTCTTCAATTGAGTTGCATGGTGTTAAAAACGCCATACTCATACTTAAAACTAATTGAGTGACAAAGTCGGTTTTTGAATACCGTATTAATCTAGTTATTTTACGATACTGAATTGCTTGGAATTGTTGGAAAATAGAACTAATATTTTAAAAACAGCAAATGTTCCAAATATGAGAAAAATAATTTCACCTACTGAAAGTACGGTTTTAAATATTTTTGTAAAAAAAATAACGCAATATCCTTGAAAGATATTTTTATTTATTTTTTTACAAATTTATAGTTTACGTTTACAATCATAATTTTAAAATTAGTTTCCATATCGTTTAAATTATTATATATAATTCATTAGCCTCTTGAATTAAATGTTGATGGTTAAATCTAATTAATTAATATTTTGTGTTTTACTCGTAAACTGAAATAGTTAAACTATTCATATCATATTTTAGGACATAATTTTAAAGACGTATGACTCATTTTTTTTAATATTTTCATATAAAAAATATTTTTAGAAGAAAGTCATTTTTCTACTTGTAAAACAATACAATACTCCATATTAAAAGATTTCATTCAAATAGTCATCAAAATCTCAGCTCTAAAAAAAAGGGGGATGGCATGAAGTTCAATAATTAGTCAGTCTGTGTTCACTATTTTGAGAGAAACTGAAAAACAAGAGCCCCTCTTTTCGCGAGTTATAATTTTATTCTTATTGAGATGGCAACAAATTAAACTTGTAGCTGGGCCTCTATATTATTTGGGAAAAGTTCTTTAAGCTTATCTCCTCGAAAATTGCACCTATAGGAAAAGAACATCTTGTTTCTAACTAATTATGTATGATGCATATTTATTACATTTTAAATTTGTAAAGAAAAAATTGCATTCTTTTACGCTTGTTCTCATGGTGGAGGAGGTTAGTAAGTCTAGCCAACAAAGAAAAGATCTGTGGTCTGAAACCTGCGAGGCCACATTTACTTTTTGCGTTTTCCGGCTCCGAAAAATCAGACTTGCTCGTCGGTACAAATTTATGAGCATCATTTAAAAAGTTTGATTTTGGTTTCAGAAACATTTTCCCCTTTAAAGCATTGAGATTTTTTTCATGGAAATCTGATTTGCTATTTTGAAACCTTAGTAGTGGAATATACATGGTTAAGACTTAATATTTAAAGTGAAACAGGGCCTAATCTATCATTTTCGAGCTTCTTATATGTAATTTTATACCTATATTTAATTGTAAACAAATGGGTCAATTATATCAACGTAATACATGAAGAAATTTAAAGAAATTCTAACTTACCTTTAAGCATAAGCCTGAGTCAACTGACCACGAACGAGCTGTGCAGTCAGCAGAGCCAGTAACGAGAATGCCAGCACCTAGATCGAGTCCAGCATCTTCGTCCATTGGTACATGTATCAACGGATAAGTACCTTTTGTGTGACCCTAAAATATTTTTAGATGTGAAATCTCGTTTGACTAGTTATTTTGTATATCATGCATATGAATATTTAAGTATCTACCCTACTATGAAGAAGGAAGGAAGACATATTAATGAGTTTCCATGAATTTTTATGAATTTTCATAATCATGTGTTCCATTCCCTTTTTTATTTCATTTTTAAGTAAAGACGAATGAATCTGAGATGTATTGCGGATAATTTCTAAAAACAATTCAGATGCAGGCTTACTCTTGGACAAAATATCGCTCGAAAAGAAATACATTTTAAACAATTTATATGTTATTCTGTTCTTTATGAAATTGAACGCACACGGATAACAAAAAAATAAAATTAAATATAAAGAAGTTTTAAAGTAAATCTGATGCGAGAGATTAAATTATTGAATATTTATATCGAAACTTCTTAAAAATTGAATTAAATATTTAAATCTAGAATTGTCTGTATGCGAAGAAAAGAGGAAAAACCTGCTCAGCTTTGGCTGAAATGCTTTTAAACGCCTTGCTGTAAAAGGCCTGAACTCTAAATTGAAACGAGATTGAATGTTTTTTTCAAGTAAAAATACATATTATAAGGTTGGTTCATTGAAAGTGCACTACAGATACTTTAACTGGAAACAACTGCCCTCTCTGCAACAGCATGACATTATAGGAATGAAGTAGTGAAAAGCAAGAAAGTGGTAGTTTAAATGTTAAGTAGAAAACATATATTTTGCATGATCTCTTCCTTAGCTTATCATGAATTATTTTGCTAGAACTAGGAACGAAGGATTAAGTACGGTTTAAAATAAACTTGATTTTAAACTTCCGTTATTACATCTAAGATCTATAACAATAATCAACGGAAAACATAGGTAAAAGCGTATTACTAGAACTTAAAAGGTAACCTAAAATAATGCTGACAAATGTTTCCTGGTATTGATGACATAGTACTGCTCTTGTTAGGATAAGTTGTAGAGTCATTGCGAGTTTTTTTGGAAGCAGGAGAAATGAAAATTAGCAATCCCCTTCGAGGGAATCGAACCACGGACCTCGGGAATACCGGCCCAGCGTGCAGAACCACTACACCACGAAGGCACGCTAGGAAGGCGGGAGAAATACTTTATATAGTGAGTGTCATAGAATATTGATTCTATGTAATTAACAATTTATTTAATGCATAATAAATTAATAAACATAAATATCCTATGGTGTGAGCAAGAGTTGCTAATACATGAGTAATAATTGTTGAACTACGTCCTTTCCAACTGTCTGAAGTTCACTTTTCCATCTTCAGAGTTAAAATATGGTAGGCATTTAAGTGGTGATGCTTTAAATTTCACTTTATATAACAACGAGGTTTTTCTTGTGCCTTAAATATCCTAGCTTGAAACAATCGCCATTGTACAAAAGTATGATACCTTTATAACACAGACGTATGCATAAATTTAAATCGAAACTAAATCTCCATGAAGATGACCTTAGATTACTCCTTAATTCGATACAGTTACAGTAGTTTCAGACAGCACTTTTGAATATCATCCGGTATTTGGTTAATCCTGTTGCACGTGCTGTATATTTTAATATTTAATTAAAATTACTTAAATATTCATGCCTTAAAGAATATATACGTGGCAGTTTTCAAATCTGAGCTGAATTTTAAAAAAAATTAAATTCTGTAAGTTTAATTCTGATTAAATAAATTAAATAAATGAATACGTAAGAATTACTCGTTTTCAAATATTCTTCTAATATCTTTTAGTATACTTTTTCAAAGAGTAAAATTAAAACAGACAGGAAGGAATGCTGCCAAATTTTTTAGCAAAGTGACATTGTCAACACAGTAGTGCAAAATACAACTCAAAGGAGCCGTTAAAGTATAGGCGGAAGTACAAAGTGGCAGAAATGTATACAAGCAGAAGAACTACTACAAAACACCTCAAACAAATTGCTTCCGCTGCACTTATATAAACTCTTGAGATTATAAAGTAATCTTATCGGAAGAAAATTTTATTTTAATTTCTAATAGGAAAAATAAAAATAAAGTAATTTGCGTGTTAAATGAGAAATAAGTAATAAGTTGAGAAGAGTTACTTGACCAGGGAATGGTTGGAAAACTAACTCTTTTACCAAGTATTCGACGTTAACCGGTAGCGGCTTTAAGTAATGAATATTCAAATTCGCCCTGATTAGTCCGTTACTTAACTTAATGTCCTATTTTTTCCCTTCTTTTTCGCATATACGTTCTTGGCGTTTGCAAATGAATTACTTTAAAGATCCCTGATAATTATGCAGATTCTAGATGAAATCAATGCAATCTAGGTCCCCTTGGTAGTCAGCCAAATTCAATTAATCAAAATGCAGTTTTAACAGATTTTTTAGACCGACCTTTCTATGACATCTGAATACATTATTTTTTCTCATGTTGTTATAGCTATGATTCTTAATCTGATTCCCTTTTTACTCAAAAAAATTAATCCCAACTTCTCTTGATCTTTCATATAATTAAATGCAGCATTGCGTAGCAAAAATAACACTAATTAATAAATTATTATAACCAGTTTTAAAGTATATTTAAAAATTAATTGATTTTAAATGAACTTTTGACTGGGGAAACAATAGATTATTACTAAATATTAGATGCTGCTACTTAATCTATAGCAATTTATTACGTATCAAAATTTTTAATTTCAGCACTTGAATTTTGATGCAATTAATAAGCAATGGTTTAATAAATACGGTTTGAAATGCTTTACAAGTTTCACACTCTCAAAATTGTATTTTTCTTTAACATTAATTTCTGCAAAATGAGGTTCAGTTAATTTTGAATCAAAACGCGCCCAAAATAACTTATTCCGGAGCGAAATTAGAAGTAACAAAAGCGATTACATGAGTGCTACGAGTGTAAGATTTCACAAATGTAACATTCAGGTCCTCTAATGAGAATAGAGAAGGAAAGGAAAAATATTTGTATGATAAATAGTGTTACACATGGTGAAATAGGAAATTAAGAATCAGAATCAGCAAATGGACTTGACTTCTGATGCATTCAAAAGGCTATAAGATATATGTATAAAGATCCAAAGGAATCTAACTCACAGTCTGAAAGATCTTAAGAATATACCTTATGATATTTAAGAAGAAACAATGGAAGGATGGATGAGAGACTTGTCGCTCATGACTAGAAGAACAAAACTTTCTAATTTCCCGTTTAAAGATTAGATAAGTTCACTTCATTTAGTAAATTTAGTACAATTTTGCATTTCTTAATTTTGAATTTCTATGTCGTCTTAGTTAGCTTAATATAATATATAACGCGTAATTAGGGAACTATGATCTCCCAGAATATTTTCATCATAATGTTTTTTAGAGATAATTTACAAGATTTGAACCTATATATTGTTCAAGTAGTTTTGTAAATAATATTTGGGAAGGGGAAATACTAGTTAACTAATTGAAATAAGCTTATTGTTTCATGTGAATTCGGTCAGTCTTATAATTTATAGACAAAAATACCAAATAAATAAAAAGTGATATCTTTCTCGTATTTTTAGAACGTTTGCAAATGTCGATTCATGAATCTCAGATGCTACATCTGTTTGGTGATAGTGTGTAAGATGTCTGGTACTATCGATCCTACACATCAGAGTTTCCTCAAAAATAAAAATAATAATATATTAACTAACTACGTTGTAACTACAATTTTAATATTGCACTACTTGCATGTCTTAAAGAAAATCACTTACGAATTTACTATAGGTATTTGCAAAATACGAAGTGATATTCTCGCTGTTTGAAGAATATACGCTTTATTTAAAATAGACATATATGTATGCTTAATTCATGATGCATGTTCATGTTACTGAAAATGTTAAAAATGTCCATTACAAACCCGAACCCGAAGGTACAAATTTGCAAACGTTATTACAAGATGCCCATGCTGATTGCAACAAATTGGTGTCTAAAGTTTACAGCCTTAATAATAAATGGTTTCCCTTTTAAGGCTTCAAAAAAAAAAAAAAAAAAAAAAAAAAAAAAAAAAGATTTCAGAAGAACTAGTTCATGAGAGCATAGCAGTCAAAGACACATTTAAATTGATCTCTCCATAATACGTTACGATTTCAGTCCTGCTTTTAAGCTATTTATGCACATTAAGCTTTTAAATTGAAAACAGCCTTCTTCAACTTAAGCTGATTCACAATTGTTTTGAAAATTTGCCAGGAGCAGGCAACGTTCAAAGTATCATTGAAAATCAAATTGGATTAATTAATGCAACATCTGAACATTATGTTTCACCGTTTTCAGTTCCTTTTACTCTCGAAGTTTTAGTACCTTTTATCCCGTATTTACTATTTGTGAGTTTTCGGGGAATATTTTCTGGGATTCTGTAGAATAAAAACACCCTTTTTTATTACGAATGATTTTGAAAGTAATAATATAAACAAGCAAACGTTTCTAAAATATTTGTACAGAAATTATCAAGCAGATTTTATTCACAATTAGTCAGTTTAACAAAAAGAAAGCATGAAAGTGCTATATTGATCACCTGAAAGACTTTAATGCAAGCTTCTCCTTGTTCATCGGATACTTCGCTCAAATCAAACAGCCAAGCCCTGGTGGTATGATCACTTGAAGTGGAGAATATAAGATGACCCACACATAGAAGCCTGGATATCCGAGAACTATGTCCTGTATAGATGGCCAAGCATTCTGCAGTAGCAATAAACCATTTGCGTATGGTAGCGTCCGAAGAGCCTGTGATGACACACTGTTCATGCACCGCACAACATGTAATATAACCTATTTAGAATAAATAAATTAACTAAGATTATAAGCAGGGATATCAGATATCAAATAAAAAAGCTTCTTTTATTTGCACCAAACATACATAAATTTAGACATTTCGAAAACACGTATTTAATATTTCTCAGTTATCTTTTTGATTTTCAAAGCAGCATATTTTTTATTATATTGAGAATCAGAATTTCAATTTTGCGGTTTATTGGGGTTTGGATTTCCTATTATTCTTCCGTTGTTTATCTCTTGACAGTCCATTTTCAAAAACTGTGTTTTTAATTTTAGCAAAATATTTAAAACTAATTCAGTTACTATCTAAGAACCACTTGCTTTCTTCTAAGTGATAATTATACGTGTAGTAAGTACGTGTAGGAACTACACAGGAGAAGGGTTAAAAGTACCCTTTATTAAATTCTTTAATTATTTTTATTATTATAATTATTTTATTTTATTATTTAATTATTTATTTATTATATTATTATAATTATTTTATTTTTATTATTATAATTATTATTATAATCATTTAATTCCCAATGCGTCGACTTGACGCTAACACACTACTCACTCAGGCGATAACTGAAATTACAAGAACTAAACTAAATATTCAAAGATATTAACAAGTAGTAGAAATTCTCTACAAGGCTCAGAAAAATCCTGTTACTTAAAACCGCGTCGAAAATTAGTGGCAGCAAAGTAAAAGCTGTTGTGCCACGTAACCCAGCAATAACTGCAGCAATAGAAGCTCACACTACAAGAGGTGACGGGGAATGCCCAAAACTCTCTCACTTTCCTTCTAGAACTCAGTATTTACCGTATTTGACGGCATATGAGACGCACTGGCATATAAGACGCACCCTTATTTAGACGGCCACACACAAAGGAAAAAAGTTTCAATAGCGTGGTTTCTTTTAGTTCTCACGTTTCGTAAAAGCCAAATAAACAATTATTGAATGCAATTACCTTCACGTATAAAGACTGTGTACTTCACGTATAAGACGCAGGTAACATTTTTGAGACCAAATTTAGGGAAAAAAAGGGCGTCTTATATGTCGTCAAATACGGTAAACTTTTCTCCTCAAGGTAGAATCTGCATTACTTCACGCGTACTACCAAATTTAAATATTCTGGCACTAACAATTAGGGGAACGAAGGCTTATAGGGAAGAACGTAAAATTAAATTAAATTGGTTATTTAAAATAAATATAAATCCCTACAACTATTATTTTTAATTTATGTGATTTAACTGTAAGTAAATTTCCAAATAATGGAATTTTCAACACCGCGTTTAGAGAAGTATTCACTCCCGCTCTCAAAAACAAAATCAGAGAAAGGAGCCTCCCTCGAATTTAAATAACGAAACGTCATATAATTTGTTTCACAATATCTTAAGCAAATTATGTCCCTTAGATTGTAAAAGCAGCGACCTTCCCTATCATATTCGCGTGTTCTTAAATATTATGGCTTGTACATTTAGCGGTACGTGTACCCCAGAATGGAAATTACTGAACTGGAGCAATATTTTTTTGATATTAAATGATAAAAAAATAACAACTATTTACACTTTTCAATTGATATTAAAGACAAACGTGTAACTTGTCCAAAATTAATTTCTAATTTTCTGAGTAGGGCGTACTTTAGCTATCAACTAATTTCAAGAAATAATTACTTGCGAAGATTCGAAACAAATTCGCATATGTGTTTGAGAAAAGAAAACATTTATTCTTTCCTAATACAAGAGGAATTATAAAAATAACTTTAAAATAATTAAAAAATTAACGGATATTACAAGTGCATTAAATATTTTAATACAAAAATATATGTGTTTGAATATTAGTACGTAAGAAACTGTCAAATGAAAACAATTTTTTAATCAGTATTTGTACTTTCCTTACGCTGAAAGCATATGGAAAATCAATGCATATAATGCAGTTCATTTTTATTAGTTGTAAATTAAATCTATTTTGCAATAAAAAATACAAATAAATTAGCACTTCACGCTCATTGGAAATTCAAGAAAATAGCATCAGTTGTAGTATGGAGAAGCAAATCAGTTATGAACTTATTTGATAAATTTGCCATCGAAAGAGAAATTTTAACAGGTCTACAGTTTTCTGCAAAACAAATATTTAAGGCTAAATAACTCTGCTCTTATTTAAAAGTTAAAAATTAGCAATGCATACTATAGGCATCTGGTGTAAGGTTCATTCCACGTTTTACTGTTTACTGCTGATACTAAGAATCTTCTAAGGGCTGCAAAATCATCCTATTCACGAATAATATTATTTTTTGGCACAGAAATCCAGGTATAAAATTTACTGAATCTCAGATTAGTTCCTGTGTGTGAGATTTTTGGAAGACTCAAGATTTTTAAGCTCGATTTTAATTATCCACAAGTCCACAGATATATTTTGCCTTATTAACTTTGCAATTATTCCGTATTTGTTAAAAAGTAAAAATGGTACTGAAATACGAAAAACATTGTGCTAAGAATAACGTTGTTACACGAATAAATACTCGGAATTAATTTTTGGTTTTAAAGTAACTAGCAAAGACAAGGAAAGTATGAATGTAGGAACACATAGGAAAAACTCTCTGAAATAAATTTAAGTCCGAGACTTGGCTGTATATGACATTCTGGTCATCGCATACTTCATTTACAAGAAAAAATTTAAAAATACGGGTTTCATACCTACAGTTCATCTCTATCCTCAAATTACTAAAACGCGAGAGTGCTAGCAGATATCGTACTTATATGCAAATCTTTATCTTCTAAGTTTAGAAGGACAATATATTTTGTTAAATACTGTAGTAACATCTTCAGCTCATCACTCAAAATCACTCTGAATATTTTTAATTAGCTGGCAAGAAATCAAAAGGAACGTAGATTGGACAATGAAACTGTTATCCTGTATTTGGATTGCAGTATCAATATAGTGTGGGCAGAATAATTCCAGAAATGATCGATACACTTCTATACCAGTAAAATGCATTTTAGTCATTTCTGTTGCAGAACAGAAGCTATTTCACTATGTGATGGTGGAGGAAGAAAACGTTTGCGAACTTCATCCTCTAGCTGTGCACCCCTGACAGGCTCAAAAACTTTGAAATTAATAGCTTGTGGAGAATATTAAATCTCATTTTCGTGTTGTTTTAACCATGCAATATTCGAAAAATTGGGCAGTGGTCCTTAGGAATATATCGGTAACTTATTTTTGTCACTAACTATCAGTATTACTAGAAACTTCTATGGCAATGAAATCCTCTTCAGTCTCCCTCTGCTCTTCAAGCTTCGCTTTAGGCAGGAGATAGTTTGGATCATATGTCTCTAAAGGAATTCACTAAACTCTGGTAAAAATGGGCAAGATAATGAAGGGGAACTGATCACTGAGAAATATATATTTTGTATTGTATATTCACGTTTTGAGCTGTTGATGTCGTTGAAGCCGACATTTGGTATGGGCGTTAGTTTTCAAAGGCTATTCTACAACTGTCTACACTACAGTAAATACACTGTTGGCCATCCAAATTGCACCACCAAGAAAGACAAGAGATATCACAACAAAATTTATTTATTAGATAACATGTTAACCAAGTATCAAATGTGAAATTTAATTTTTTCAAAGAAACCACACTTCACAGAAGTGTGGTTTCTTCCAGAATCAGTAGCCAGAGTAGCCGCTATTGTTGGAGATCACCGCTGTCACACGCCTCGGCATTGATTCAAAGAGACTTTGGATGTGTTCTTGGGGTACAGCAGACCAAGCAGCTTCCACACGTTGCCTAAGTTGATCTGGTGTGGCTGCTTGGAATGTAATCGGGGCCAATCGTTCAGCAACCAAGGACCACATGTTTTCTATCGGCGAAAGTTCCGGACAGCGAGCCGGCCAGGGAAGCAATTCAATCTGGCGACTGACGAAGAACCCTTGGACAATACGTGCCACGTGTGGTTGCGCATTATCCTGTTGAAATATGGCTGTGGGCAAGCCCTGAAGGACAACTGGTTCCAACACCTCGGAGATGTAGCGCTAGCTGTTTAAAGTACCGGCAATGCGTACTAGAGGAGTGCGAGAGGGATATCCAATACCGCCCCATACCATAATATCCTGTGCAAGACCAGTGTGATGGAGCATAACGCAGCTGTTCAGCATCCTCTCTCCACGGTGTCTCCAGACTCGAATCCGACCATCGTGTTGTTGCAGACAGAGAGAGAGAGACAACGGAGGACGTGGGCACTATCCCCTTAAAAGTAATGTCAGTGACAATTCATTCCAATCTGCGTCCACATCCTTCTTTCATCACACCATTGTCAGCGGAGACGTCTGTGGTTCTGCGTCAAGGGTAGACGAAGCAATGTATGTCTTGCGGACAGACCACTTTGCTGTAAACGGCGTCGAATGGTACGCGGAGACACTGGATGATGAGTTACAGACTGAATGTGCTGTACTATGGTTCGTGATGTGACAGAGCGATCCGTCACTGCCATGCGCGCAACGTTCCTATCGTCACGTGAAGTGGTTCACTGAGGTGGATGCGATCGATCCTGTTGGTCCGTCGTACCCTCCTGCATACAATGGTCACATATCCGCATTACAGTAGTTTGGGTTCGTCCAACATGACTACCGATTTCCCTGAAAGATAATCCACACTCTCGGTAGGCCACTATCCTTCCTCTGTCGAACTCGGATACTTGATCAAACGATGATCGCTGTTTACTAGGAGGCATAATTGATCGTTTTTTTTTGAAAAAAACCGCAAGAAAAACACAATTGCCGAACTTGAAATCGTCGAAAACTCCAAGCCCTAAATATTGCTTTGTTTGAAGTGGCGCCACAGACGCGCGTGATGTGCGTCTGCTCTGAAATTCTAATCATTTGCGTATCTCACCTCCGCTAATGCATGTTGTAACTTTCATGTTATTTTCATGCTTCCTTCAGGGTGTAGCATTTACTATGGCCAGCTGTGTATTAACTTTGTAAAGGCGTCAGCTCTCGACGGAAAGGTGTTTTTTTTTTTTTTTTTTTTTTTTTTTTTTTTTTGTAGAGAGTGATGAATGTAACATCATTTTCAGGTTTACTTTGACAATTAATCTAACTGCACAAATTGTTTTTCTAGCTATTCTAGGTATACATATAATAAAAATGGTTAATCCATGCGTCATTGTATAAAAAGACCTGCTGACGTGGCAAGATATGTAACAAACAAACTAGCAAGAGCAATCAAGTCTTTTGAACTCCGACATACCACCATTCTTGTTTTATTGTCCTTAATATTTAATATATGTACTTCTAATACTGATAATAATTCAATATTTGATTGATAAAATTCGAAGTAATTTATGTTCTTAACGGAAAGTCCATAGGGTGAAGATTTAAAATGCTATATTCAACAGCTATTTGAACTTCATTCTTAAGCGTCTGCAGTCTCGTTCATTAAGGTTAAAAATGAATCTGCTTTACTCAGATATGTAATACCATATTGAGCCTTTGACATCTCTATTAATACAAATTTTGACATCTCTATTAATAAAAAATTTTAATTGTCATAATTTTTGAGTAACTGGCTTTTAAAATCCATGAATATACACATTGAAGTTATTCAACAATCACATTAAAACCAAAATCGTATATGATCGAACTAAGAAGGAGTGATCCTGATTATTGCTTGATATTTCATTCTGAATTAATAACGATAAACGAAGTATTTATCCACATAACAACCATTATAAGCGACGTAAAGTATTTAGAAATTACTTGGTAGTCGGAGATCTGTTCAACATCTGAACAAATGGAGGGGTGCAAGATAAAAATGCATGAATAAAAATCACAAACAGTCTTGTCAGAGGCTACGTCCAGTCCTTTTAACCAGAGACAAAAATTGTTCTCCTATCTGCCAAAAAGGCTATTCCGAACCAGTTGCCTGACGTCATTTTTTATCCTTTGAATAGCCCCAGGAAAGTCTTCAGAGATGCCCAGATGTAATTTGTTTTGGATTCCTCGAAGGTGTATTAACAAATTAAATTGAACAAGTTTTGTATACTAGTTCACAGAAGATTGGAAACAATAAATGAATACGACTATATTGACGTTGAAAAAAATCACTTTTCAAGCTTTAATGAAGCAGAACAATATTTTACGTTAGATAATTTAAATAAGAACCACAAAGAGCCAAAAATCTATAAATATATTTTGTGACCACTAATACTTCCATAAAAACTGCTTAATGAATATAAAAGGAAATTCGAATGTCAAGGGCTAATATAATTTGGATAAAGATTCTCCAACAAGAATAAAAAACTGAAATACTTAAATAAATTACGAGAAGGCTTCGGATAATTAAGCAATTACACTCTAGTTAAAAAAGAAATTTCGAAAATAATGTATATCAACCTTGAAAATTAATAATAAAACAATGCATCATCGGGTAGAAATATATCAAAATAATTGATTAGAAATACAAAAATAAATCAAAATATGCATAACCTAATTTCAACGTGATAGTATAATTATGTTTAACTGTTAAATTTCGGTAACTGGAGGAAGAATATCGAGGTCGAGAATATAAACGGAAATTTTTAAAATGAAGACTGTTTTTATTGTTTTCCAGTACTAATGCTCTTACAGTTGCTAGCAGAAATGTTATCCTAAACGTATTGAAATAATTTGACTAAATCTAAATGCATGTGGTTTTGAAATATGCATTCCAAATTTTAAAGTTTATACTCTTCAATAAAATCCTAGGCGGCAAGTTATCGAAAACGTATTTTAATTAAATCATATTCAAGGAGAGGAAAAGAAAATAGTATTTGTGTTCTGAAAATATTTGACAAAGAAAAACTAAATAATCGTTACTTCACAAACTTCTTCTCCACAGCATTATATACGAAGCTGAGATAAAAAAGGTACAAGGGTTACTTATAAAAATAATATTATATCTTATTTCATGCTTATTTTTTTCCAGATTCATCGTGTTTAAATTATAATAAAACCAGTTTCAGTTTCAGAAGCATTAAAAACATTTCTATAGTTCTATTGTGATTGAAATTTTCAAAAAGTAATTGAGATGTATTGCTAGTTTATGTTTATTCTTAACGGATTTCAATCGCGAAAATTATTATGCCGAAAAAAATGTGATCTACAAATAAGTGCTTCGTCAAATAATCAGTAACATGAAACTTTATAATCATTGCATTTCAATGAATTTGTAGTTGAAGTATATTAAATTTTGTTAAGTGTATTTTGATTGCTATGTAAAAACATTGCAATCAAGATATTTTTCAAAAACATAAGACTTATGGCCGTAAAATGTCACTGCAATGAGAATACATATTGCAATAATGCACGCATCAAAATGTTTTGAAATGAGAGTATTGTTTTTCTTTTATTTAAGCTAGCGTATATTCTTTTGCTCTAAACGGAGCAATTATTACACAAAATACTTCTAAGCTTTTAACATTGCTGCATTTCGTGATAAAACAAGAGTAATATTTGGCTATTGAAACAAATAGATTAAAAGAACAGGAAAATTAAAAAGGAAAAATTTAAATTCAATATTTGTTCTTTTTTTTTTCAGCAACGTTACATTTTTACTTGTAGGGACTTATTTCATTCTAATCAATTATTTTTAGTTTGACTTTTCTTTCCTTCCTGATTTCAGTTTCCTGCCGAAATGTAAATTTGCTATGACGTAGATGCTAATCTAAGCATGTTTCAGAAGCAGTATTTAAGCTGCGTCTCAAGAGTTCGAAAAGAGTAGTAGCGGATTTAGTCCCGAGTTTATGCTGCGTGTTTGACTTTAGCTCTCTATTTGGTGTTGGACATCTTTCAGTTTATACTGATATTTCTCGGCTCGGCTTTCCTGTGTGCATACGATTTAGCGTTAGTTAAGCTAAGGCGCCAGTCGTTAGATATCAGAATTTATTAGTGATTTGTTATATTCTTATTTTCTGTTAAATTTACGTTAGCCACAAGTGGTGGTGATTTGTGAGCAGCAAGTGAAATGCATCAAATTTAATTTAGTTTAATTAAAAAGGTTATTTAAAATCTTCTTCCGCAGTATTTATTCTTCAAGACGTAGCAAGAATTTGTTTGTTCATCTTCTCCACATAATCTACAGTATATGCTACCAAAGAGAACCCAGAGACTCTATATACCTTCTGTTCTAGCATTCTAGTACGTATTATTGGAATTGATAAATGCATTTAACAGTAGTTTATTGTCATTTCTGTTCACGCTTTCAAAATATCTATAGTCGACAAAGAAGTACCTCGTATATTCAGTTACAATATCATTATTTTAATGAAACATGTCTTTGTAATCTGCATAAAAGATCTAGGATATCACAAAAACTCAAGGAATCTCTAAGCTGTGGAATTTTTCAACACTGAGGCTTGAAAGAAGTTTTACGCTTCAGATGTTGCTTGTTATTTAGCAAACGAAAATATTTATTCTAAGTTGTCTAAATGTAATATCCCATTAAGTAACGATCAGAAGGTTTTTGTTAGTTTCTCTGTGCAGATACTGAGTGTGGATAAAAAGACCACAAAGCTTTTTAGAAATGATACCTTGGTGTAAAGAAATTCAATTATCTAACATCTCAATATTCCTCAAGCTGGAACAAAGAAATATATTTTTAGCATTGTTCATTTCTACTACTACGTTACTGCCAATTCTAGCACCCTCTGACCAGTTTGATAACATTCGAGGTCATTTTCAGGTACATTTCATTATTTTGTTGCATTTAAAAACATTTATGAGACACATTAGGCAATCAAGGTAAAATATGATGAAGGTATTTTGATTATTATCACTTACATAAATACTGAAATATTAAAATTGCATGCTATCTAATGAGTATAGGAACGGAATGAAGCGATACCGGCACCTGCGCATTCAAGTAAGCATATTAGGTATTGCCGGGCCTTGTTAAGTGCTAAGTTTCGACCCCGAATGGAATTCCGAAAGAAAACGGTTTGGTGTCCTTTTACCCAGTGGAATTTTAGCCACGAGGGAAAATCGAGAGTGGACATCACCAAGAAACCCGGGGTTGCGGTTCTGAGTACCTCTCACCCCTCTTTGCTTATCACCAATCTCTGGAGAGGATTTCGGCTCGCTGTGTATTTTGAGTGCTACTTTGCGCACAGACACAGTATGCTCACAAATGTCCGTGACTCGAAGACGTATGTTTCGCTATGGGAGTCAGAGTCTCTAACTATAATAACCTCTGAGCGGCGGATTTAATCAGTAGCTACACAAGATTCGGAATGCAGACCTGTGTAATATTAGTAATTTATGCAATTATGAGAGTACGAAACAATTCAAAATTCCACACGTTGGATATAAGTATGTATGTAATCAAACATGCTACGTTTAATATTTGTTTTCATGACACTCCATATTTGTTTTATTCTACACACGCAAAAACTTCGATAAAGAGTATAAAGAACTATTTCTCATCTTTTGCATATTTATATTGTTTGTTTTCACTTTTTCTCATCTGCTTTCGTAAGACAAAAGCATACATTCATATCCAAGTGTTATTATTTGAAATTAAGAAATCGGATTCTGTGAAAGTGAAACTACTTAATTCTCTTAAAATAGGCACAAGAATATCTTTTGTAAGATATAAACGTTTCTTACAAAACAAAAACATTTCTTTCATAAATAAATGAATAAATTAGGCCTAGAATTCTATTACAAATACAGTATTACTGAAAAAGTTTGTTAGTATAATAAATAAGCAGTTTTTACAAAATAAGAAGAAAACATTTATTTATAGAAAAGATCCTTTAAGGAAACTTCTATCTATCTAGCTATATTTTGAACTCCCGTCCGTTCAATGAAGAACACTGCAGAGAATTAACAGAGTATGCTTTGAGTATTGAAGCTAACTTACCGTCATGACCTTCCAGTATCCCTAAACATTCTGTAGGATCTGAAAGCGTGCTCCACATTCTCACTGTTTTATCATCACTTCCAGTTACAAGAAGAGATGCATCATCACTTAGTACCATACAATTGATGCCTCCTTTGTGGTCTCTGATTTCTTGCAGAAGGTATTTCTGCTGCTTCGTCCCTTTTTTTGTTGCAGATCCTTTGGATGGACGACATCCCATTCTGAATTAGCCTTCAGGAAACTGTGACTTCTTTGAAATGGGAAGATTTGCCTAAAACGCTAATTTCAGGCTGCATGCTAGTATAAATGATAAAGTATTTATATTAGAAATACTTGCTATTAAATGAAGATCCTGCAAATACGCAATCTATGTGTTCATACGTCGAAATAACATATAATATAATATTTTTGATATTCTATAAAGCGAAGAATGACCAGAATGCTGACTCATTCGCTCTTTGAAGTTTAACTTCAATTCTAATAAACAGTATAATAACATATAAATTTGTAAAATTAAATAATCAAATGTAGAAAATTAATTTCAAAAATTAAATGTACAAAAGAACATAATTCTTAAGTAACATATTTTAAACATTTTATTGTGCTTCAGGTAAAATGTTAAAAGACTCTTAAAGTATTCAAACATTTTAAAATGTGAAATGTACAGATGAATAACAAATGAAAGTTATTGTGATATTTTTTTTTTATCAATACAAGTACAGATCGTTTTTCAAAAAGAAGTTCAAAATTCTCATTTTTTTTTAACAAATTAAAAACGATCCCTGTGATTAACTTAAAATTTATTCTTCTTCACTTGAAAAATAAGTTATTATTTCCAGAACTTGAAGAAATGTAAGAACAAGAAACGATAATTAAGATTTTTAAAGCAAATTTAAGGTTATTTAAAGATTTCAACTAATATCTGTCATTTTAAAAGTCAGGTCATCGCGTTTTCACACACCTCAGGAAAGAAATCAAATGCTTGTATAAACGTGGTAGCATTGTAGAGTCATTAGGTTAATTGGAAGCAGAAAAGATGAAAAATATGCAACCGCCTTCGCCGGGAATCGAACCACGGACCTCTGAAATACCGGCTCAGTGTGCAGAACCACTACACCACGAAGGCTCGCTAGGAAAGTGGGAGAAATACCTTATAGCATGACTACATGTTTCAAGGAATTGAGCCTTTCTTGTCAAATTTGGCAAATTTCGCAATGGTTTCATTATAGTAAAACAATGTAAATGCATCTCCAAAGAAATGACATAATATAAGGTGCATTAATTAAATCATTCAGTTATTTAATTTATCAATATGTAAATTAATGAACATTGAGAAAGATTTCACGTTTTTTACAGAACATTATAGCCAGATAATCAGTGCAAAACCTGTTTTTATTGAGATTATTATAGTTTCCAGTTTAAAATTTTTGCATTTAAGATAAATTTAAAGAATGAACTACTATAGCATTTCGTTCTTTGACTTATTAGCAGATTTTTGTCGATATATTAGTTAACCATTTATTGTCATACACTAGGAAGGGCGGTAAAGTCTCTGCACACTGGTAGTTCGGTTCGTTGTTTCAATGACGGGAAATGGGCTGGCTGCATTGGTGTTTCGTTGTTTTCCCCATGTGTAACGTGTGTACGAGCCAGTTTTCCCTTAGAAAGTCCACCTCAACGGCATCCCTCCCCTTTAGCAGATAGTCCTCAACGCTTCGCAGTAATTAAATAAACAAATAAATAAAAAAACCATAAACTAGGAAGCTATTATATACGATGTTTCTGCGGTACTCTCTCCTTACATAATTCTGATTGACATGAGGAAAGTAATTTTATGCTATAAAAGGTATCCTTACAACAACGAAATTTACTTGCTAGAAAGTTATCAATAGCTGTTATTCAAATATTGTTTATCTCACGGACAAAATTCCTGAAACGGTTCAATAAATAAATAAATGAAAGAAACATAGAGTTAGCTGTAGAAAGAGAAGATTAGTCTCATTGTAAGACACTGGTATGAGACTGATCTGGTTCTCCTGTGACCGAGTCAATAGCCTCCTTGAATGCTGGTCAGATCTGGATGTGAATCCCAAATAACAGGTTGGCAGCATGGACATTTTCATGGTTTTCTTCATTTGTAACGTGAATACCAGCTAGTTTCTCTCAGAAAAATCACCAAAAAGGCATCACATCTTTGCAGATAGTTCTTGCTTACTTTCTCTTAACTTACACAAAATGGGATGAACTATTTGCTTCTTGGATAAAACGGCCGATATTTACGGGATATCGTCTGGTGCTCATCACAATCTAAAATCTTTAATACATTTACTTCGTATGAATGCTATTGAATATCACTTATCCTATTTCATAGCCTAAATAAAAGTTTAGCAATGTCTTTCTGTTTACTATTGCTGATCTATCTGTAACTGAAAGCTATTAATGAAACAAGGGTCTACCAGTAGAGATAATAATAATAAGAAGAAAAAGGAAATCGGAAAGGATTCAGAATTTAACGTCGCACCAGATAGTTTGTTAGTTTTTTACGTTCTTGCTGAGATCGTTTCTTACCAACCAGTTCTTGTGCTCACAGATGCTAACACAACTTTTCTTGTCTTTTAAACTTTAGTATTAAACATCGTTTTCTTCGTACTTACGCGATATAAAATTCAAAATCATAAAATTTCTAGCCAGCGCACATTTGGTTGCTATCTCGCTGTTACGCTAGTACGCCCCTTGGCCATTTCGGATAATTGTCACTCCTGTTAGATTTTATTGAGTCAACCTAAGTTAGCCATACTTTAGCGTGCTAATGCAGCACTATTCTAATTAAACTTGAATTGATTTACACTCATGTCCACAAATTAAGGATAATTCGGAGTCACGCGGAAATCGAAGGAATACAGGGAAAGAAGTAAATTGTTCGCAGGCGCTTTATAAGCATTTCAGTGCAATAACCGAATAGTTAGAACACAAAGGACACATTTGGATGATTTTTTACGCGGTAGAATTATCGGCCGTCTGGAATGTGGGCGTACCCAACTGGAAGTATCAGACGAACTTGGAATTGCCCAGAGTGTCATTTCCAGGCTTTAACAACGATTCCAAGATGATGGTAATGTGAGTAGACGTTACAGCACAGGTCGCCCCAGAGTTACAACGCCGAATGAGGACCGGTATTTGGCAATTACTGCCAAAAGAAACAGGCGGAGCACAGCCTCAGACCTGTCACGTTAACTCTCTTCAGCCACTGGTACGACAATTTCAAGGCAGACCGTGTACAGACGCTTAGGGTAGATTGGTCTATATGCTTGTAGACCTGTCAGATGCGTTCCACGTACTGCAACTCACTCTCGCCTGCGGTTAGCCTGGAGTAGAGAGCATGCATTGTGGACACCGCAACAGTGGGCTTGTGTGATGTTTTCCGACGAGTCCAGGTTTAGCTTGCAGTCTGATTCTCGCCGGACTTTCATATGGAGAGCTCCAGGTACCCGTTACCACCAAGAAAACATCATTGAACGACACCGTTACGGTGGTGCAGGAGTGCTCGTTTGGGGTGGAATTATTCTGGGTTCCAGAATTGACCTGCATGTTAAAATTGGAACCATGACAAGCCAAATCTATTGGGACGTCATTCTGGAACAACATGTACGTTTGGTTCGGGGCGCCATGGGTGCACAATTTGTATTTATGAATGATAACGCCCGTCCTCACCCTGCAAACATCGCAAGCGAATGCCTTCAATCAGAGGATATCACCTGTATGGACTGGCCAGCATTCTCACCGGACTTGAATCCAGTAGAGCACGTGTGGGATATGCTTGGCCGACGAGTGCAACTCGTCAACCTCCTCCTACATGTCTATCGGAACTTCGGAGAGTATTGCTTTTTGAGTGGTGTAATATCCCCCAAAATCAGATGGTTAATTTGATACTCAGCATGCCTAGGCGTTGTACGGACTGTATTGCATCGTCTGGGAGACATACAATGGATTAACAATCATACCAACCATGAAAAAATCGCTAATTTTTATAATAATATCAAACATATAGCATCTTTTTTTTTTTTTTTCTCTTTACCTTTTGTTTAATAAATAAGTTTTACAACTAAGTCAAATTTGTTTTGCTTCTAACTGTTCCTTTGCCTGATTTTGCATTATCCTTAATTTATGAACATGAGTGTATATTCTATGTTTAAGTTTCACCGCAGGTTAACAGTATTATTGTAAAGCACGAAGATCGGTTAGAACTCGCCAGGTTTATTGTAGCATCTATTTTAGTTTATGTGGAATAGAAGAGAAATCTTACAACACAGCATCCTTTATTTTTATTTTTTCTGCTACTGGGAAACTGTCAGGAAAGTAATATGAAACTACTTTAAAAAGAATATTGGAGTGCATTTTATTAAATATTTATTATTAATTGAAAGATGCTTGGCAGTAAACTGGGAGATGGAAATTAATCGAGGCCGTACATTTAATTATCTTCTCGCGACTGCCAAAAAAAGTCGTCCTGAATATATATTAAGTACAGTGAACTCTCTTGTAACGATCATCTTAAGCTTCTAAAAATGACCAGTATTTCTGAGACCAAAACTAAATTTGGCATTGAACATAACATTGGTATGATGACCGTTTCCAGGAATAGGATAATTATCTAAAATGCTATGTATCTTTTCATAGAGAAAGTGTTCACATTTTAATTTTATGTAGGGAAATATATATAATATATATATATATATATATAAAAACAAGTCTTTCGAAAACTAAATATAAACATGTCTAGTATTTTCGCGCTTTAAGCTGCAGAAAAACTATCATTAAAGACATAAAGTAAGAAATTTAGAACTAATATTTCACAAAGACCAAAAATTGAAATTCATAATTAATAAATCTGAAATTTAATAATTATGAATTTCAGTTTTTGGTCTTTGGGAAATCTTAATTCACAGATCATCATTCGTGTAAAAGTCGTGCGGCCTGTTGAGGCCTTTACCAGTCTATATTCCTTAAGTTCCTAATGGCATAAAGATGAGGGAAAAAAAAATCCGAAAAAGAGCAAAGTCTTAAAGCACTGGGTTCGGATATCATAAGCGAAAGAAGTACGACGCCATTTGTTGACTTGAGTAGAATCTTCAGTAATCGCATGCGCCATCTGATTCCATGGGATAAAGCATAAGCAATTTTATATTACTTTGAAGAAGGAAATCTTAGTTCTAAATTTCTTACTTTATATAAAAAATATGAAAACAAATTTCTAATTTTAATTGTCTATAACCCCTTATTTTTCATTTAATTTGTGG